GCCACTTCCAGCAAAGAACGTGGTCCGCGCGTGCATTCGCGAATGCATGCTGACATACATAAGTGGGCGCTCTACGCATGCCCACATACACAGACTTGCGCACAAGCAGCCTCTAATCGTAGGAGCTCTTACCGCTGCTGCTGCTCCTGCTGCTGTTGCTGCCACTGCCACTGCCACTACCACTACTACTACTACTACTACTACTACTACTACTGCTACTGCTCCTGCTCCTGCTCCTGCTCCTGCTCCTGCTACTGCTTCTGCTTCTGCTTCTGCTACTGCTGCTGCTACTGCTACTGCTACTGCTTCTGCTACTGCTGCTGCTACTGCTACTGCTACTGCTAGTGCTACTGCTACTGCCACTAGCGTGTATCTGAAGCTCGGCAAGTTGCCGAAAGCGTTGTCGCCCATGGCTGCCAACTGGGCCTGATCGAGAAGACGACTGCAGAAGTCTCCAAGACATGCCTCAGTATGTGCCTCTTGTTACCACTCAGCATCCGAGGTCAGTTCTTGAACCCCTGGGCCAGGGTCTGGCTGTCGTGATGTCGCCGGTAGCGTGCACATCACCGATTGCGCAGCAGGTGCTGCTGCTTGCGGGCGCACACGAACCAATCCTGCGGACGAGTGACATCAACATCGCCCTCAAGCTGCAGCAAGACGTAGAAAGAAGCAAGCGTGCATCGTGCCAACGTGCAAGCCTTTCACAAAACTTTGCTGAATCTCCGACAAGAAGCCTCTATTGCCTTTGCTACTCCCTTCTCAGCTGCCCAGGTAGGCACACCTCCTCCGGCTTCGCTGAGGAAAATGGAGTAGACCTTCCACTTGCCCCTCACTCCAGATCCCGAGCGAGCACCTGCAGATCACATTAAGACAGTGGTCTAGAAGGCAAGGTGTCCAAAGGCAGGAAGCGCTCTGCAGACAAGATAGTCATCTCACGGGACGGATGATTCTTCTTAGCAGTGCGACTTCAGCATATAAGAGAACTCAAGGGCCACCTGCATCCATAGGCTCGAAGATGTAACCACCTTGGACCAACACTTCGGAGGCGCAAGTGCGACACAGGATGACGCATGCTGCGCATGCTCTACGCACTACGCTTCTTGCAGAGATGACAGTCGCGCTCTGTAAGAAGCACCTCAGTGTCTGCCAGGGCACTCGTGTGGTCGATCGCGCGAATCCTACCCGGTGTTGGTGGTGCCGACGACAAAGTCTTCAGAGCATCTTTCTGTCTGATCTTCTCCACCAGTAGCGGACTCTGCAAGCCAAGGGAACCGCCAAGAATTGATCCATCGGGCTGGGCAGCGGGGTCTCGCACAAGCGAATCAACTTCGCGAGCAGAGATGAGACCCAATAGCATTGGTTTTGTGATAGTACGGATCAAACGGGCTTTTGGACCCTTACGACCGACGTGCTTGCGAGTCACAATGGAGTCCAAAGCAGGGTCGAAGCTTAACTTGAGGCATTTCTCGGATACCTCTGTCAGCAGCAGCAGCTCGTCCAGGGATGTATCATCCCATACTGCACTTACCATGTGCAGCCTTACAGGAAACCCCTCCATCCTCTTGGCACAGTGAACGGCATCTTGCAGATCGGAAAGCTTGACGACTTTACCTTTCAGATTCCCAAAGTATTCGAGTATTCAAGTCCTTCGATCAACCAGGCACAGCATGGCAAGGCCAGGCCCAACTGAGGTTTCCGCTTTCATCCCACCAAGATGCTGGTTCCTTGCACAATACCGGCGCAAAGCACGCTGAAGCATGCTCACCACCGAGCCTGTGACCACCCGCGCAGGGTGCGCATTCCAGCATCCAGAACGGACAGCAGAAGATCTTCATCATCCGCCGACAGAGCCAGATCCTCTGGACAGATGACAAAAAGGACGAAACGACGAGATGGGGCACGACATCCGAGCCTCAGCCGCGGAGGTCGAGCAAAGACACGGAGGCCTGTAGGCAAGCACCAAGCCGGCGCTCACTGTCGCCGCGGTCGCCGCGGTCGCCATGCTCATTCTGTCCGTGACGCATCTCTTTACCAAACCTGACCAGACACGAAAGACTTTCTCCAAACGGGCTCTTGGTCAACTAGGCCAACTCTGTCAAGAATCGTTGTGGCAGCGCAAGCCGCCGCCAGGAAGGAAGGCCCCCCACGAGGCGACGCATAGTCCACATGGCTGTGGCTGGGCTGCTTAATGTCCAGAGTCAGATAAAGACTTGGCTCGCAGACGCTCTGTGCCAAGGCCCTAACAGCTTCTCAAAGCGGTTGGTCTACTCGGACGGTCATTCTCCAAACTGCTTAACATGCGGAAACTCCCTAAACCCTACTGATTGACGTTGCGCCGCTGCTGCCCAACTACACTGGCTGAAAATCTGAAAGATGACTCTTCAACCTCTGCTACATTTTCTGCTGTGGTGCCGTGCAGGACGGCTGCACGCTTACATGCATGGGTGCCACAGCCACTTCCAGCAAAGAACGTGGTCC